GTCGTGGCCTAAATGTGGTTCGCTGGTTTAGAACGATCTTCGCCGCGGTTCGGACATACCATTTCTTCCTCGAATGTGGACGCCACTTCGAGGATGAAGATGCTAAAGATAAATGAGAATCAGGTGGACCAGAAGTTCCGGGAATTTCTCTTTCTTTCTGACCTCTCATTTCGTACTTGATATATCGTACCGCGAGTAAACTGTCTCGCGCTGTTTTCTGCTATTTTCTTTGACACCTGATTTTTCATCTGTCATCTCCTGGTTCTCTTAAAAATCCTCCACGGTCTGAGAATTTTTTGTGTATATCCTGAAGGAACTTGGAAAAATTCTGAACAAATTGTGTCGCTAATATTTAATAAGTTTCTCTGTTTTTTCGATAGGTTCTATTTAAGTTTCTCGAGATACGGGTAATTGAATCGTGATCGCGGATTAACGTGACTTCCGTCCTCCATTTGTCCAATTATGCGAAATGATATTCGTTATCGAACTACCGTTTCATGAATGAATATGAAGTTTCAATGGGTACGGGCTGCTTTCATGCGAGCTAATGAATACATATGCATAAGAGATGCATATCTAAATACACGCAGGTTTATATGTATTAGCATCTAGAACGGTACACACATGGTTAACCATACTATTTCGGGTCACTTTGCTTAACCCGCTCGATTAGCGATTATAATTCGTTCCAGTGAAGACTATTGTTCAGTAAAATTGGAGTGGTTTCCAAAGGGAGGCAACCGAAATGACATCAGCTTTCGTTCGCTAAAAATAATGCGCGATTGTTCGGTGACAAATTTCGAATGTTAATGATTAATTTATGAGATCTCGTCGAATTTCTAAGGCGGATGTGTTACGTTATAACCAGTCGACGAAATCGTTGATAAATGGTAATAATAAAAAGGCTGCCTAGCTTCGTATTTCCTAGTCTGCATGCATTTGCTTGAAAAGGAAACTGGTGAAAAAGCAAAGAAGCATACTTGACTCGTACTGAACGTGGAGAAAAAGTAGAAAGATCGACTGGTGAAACTAGTAAGCGTTTGAAGAATCTAACTCGGTTGCATTTGTAGCATCGTCATGTATTTATTATGCTGATTCACATTGTTGAGCTACTGATACGTGTAGTATCTAATTGACAAGTCACGAATAGATGTTACTTAATCAGTTGGTGTCTGAGATATCTTTGGAATTTTTCCAACTAACTATGAAATTAGATGGCTAATTTTCAAATCTGAAATTGCAAACTTTCTATCGACCCCCTGTGGAATTGAACGCGTTAAAAATCAATTTTTATCCACATAAATTAGTCCCGATAGAACGAAGTAATTCTAGAAACATTTTCCAAAGTCTCCATTACGTGTTTGTTCATAAATTGATCAGCCACCGATATAAGTGTATATTCACGAGCTCCTTCAAAATATCCTTGCTCCAATTCTCCGTGACAAGCGTTCGAACATGCTAGCCGCGTACAACCGGTTTCAATTAATATCAACGGGGTTGCGATGCTGTCGGCATCGCCGATAAACCGTCGTACGTACGAGCGTAACACGAAGTTCACCAGGTCGATTGCAGTTTACAACGTATCATCAGGCACCCTGGGGTGACACTGTGGGGGGAAAAGTTACGGCAATCGTAATCCTCTTACTGGGAACGAGTTTTAAAGTTCTCGTGTTACGTGAAAATGCCAGAAGCGTTTCGAATCTAATTTGACGCTCGTCTGTTTCTGTTGTTTTAACGGCCGTCGTTGCAAACTTATGCGTTTCGCTTTCGGCACGATGAGAACCTCTTAACATTTACCACCGCGGATCTTAACACCTTTGGAATCGATTTACACTATCGTAAACTTTTTCTATTCGTCGATATTATGCGGATCTAAACGAGATTCACGATTAACCGTGTCTAATGTACCTTCATTCTTCGAATTAACGCCTCCCAGTGATAATTAGGGAAGATGTTAATTTTCCGCGTGGATGTTAATTTTCTAATTAACTGTAACGTTATAAATTATTACTCGCGATATGTATGATCGATTGGAATGGACTTAGAGCAACCAGGTGCGACCTCCGGCACCAGGCGTGGAGGGCTCCGGAGTAATAAGGACCCAGAGCCCTCCTTTAACCCCAGTGTCGGTCGCCGTGGGGTTTTAGTCAGTAGGAATCTGACACTCCTCCACCACCCACCCTCAGGGGATGGTGGGAGTCTTATGCAAGATTTCCCCACGTTAAAAGAAAAAAATACCTTCATCCGTGCATCGTCCACATCTCCGTTGATGCTATTGGCTTTCGATATCAGTAGCAACGAAACATAATTAATTATTTTAACAAGCAACCTTCGAATTGTGCTCATTATTCTACTGGTTAATTAACGAACCTTCTTGCTTTAGCGACCAACTATTTATTTGAGAAAATTTTGATCTTTCTCGAATACCAAGGTACCTGCTGTGAAGTGGCTAGCTCGAGGTATTATACCCATTCCTCTCCGTTGGATTACATCGTCATTTTTCCTAAAGGGTCGTCGAACGTACCCAAGAATGTACAGTTTTTGAATTGGAAAAGATAATATCAGTCAACTGATTGAAAAATCCTTAGTAAACGTATGTCGAAAGATAGATGCTTTCATATTTGTTGTTTCGTAAAAGGGCTTAATCTTTTAGAAAGGAGGAAGCTCAAATACCTGATAACATATGCAATTAACACGGAACATACAATTTTGCATTAAAGGAACAGTAATTTGATTGTAAATAATGGATAATTTTCGAAGACACGAAGACATCAATGCACCATAGTAAAACGAACGACTTTATTATTGACTTCACCTATTTTTCATTTTGATATCTTCCTTTCGAACTCTCTCCTTTCATCTTTTTTATTTATTTATTTAGCTCGAAGGGTAGTTAACATTTCAGAAAACAAAGTGATAGTTTCTAGATCCTTTTTCTTTTTTGAATATGATCAAGCGAAAGGTTCTATTCGAAAGGGTAGCCATTAGAAAGCAAAGTAAGATGATGTTACATTTTCTTCCTGATATTACAAATGCCTGCAGCATATTAACTGTGAACGATTTTACGATCTTATAACGTGAATTTATGTTCTCTGCCTAATCAACCACCTCCGGTGATACCTTGTTAATATTCAAATCAGTCTTCAAAAGTATTTTGAATAGTTATGACTCTAACTGCACATCAAATGCTCAATTTCGAAATATACAAAGTCTCGCATGATTTTATAACATAAAAGTACCGTAAAATGACATTTATGGTATATCAATTTGAAGTTTATACCTTACAGAATGTAATTACGTAGGTGTTTCCTTAATATTCTTAATAAAAATTGCCTGAATGCGAACTATAGTAAACAATGTCTATAATTGATAATTTTTCAGTCTCTTCTATGAGTATATTAAACATTTCCGAGTGTAAATTAAAGAATTTGTTTGGATTTATGTATTTTTCAAGATTCTATTTATTTAATACTTTAAATTAGTAAATCACCGCTCCTTTACAATTAATCAGCGTCGATAATGATACTGTCTTCTTCTTTTTAAGTTAATATTGTAAATTAAAATGCGTTTATTATTGAATTTGTAATAAAAACAAGAGTGTTTGTAAGATAATTAACTGAATAAATTGAATGTGGTGTAAAAACTTAATTTCAACATGTTTTTTAAATGAAAACCTTTCCCCGCCGAAAACAGTACATGTGGCGCCATCTATTAACGAAGGTTGGAACTAAAAGAATAGAAAATCACGTTTTTTGGCAAAATAAGGAACTTTTGGATTTTTCTGAGGCCGCCAAATGATTCTACGACCTCGAATACATAAGAAAAATGTCCTCATAATTAATTTAATGCTTTAATTAAGAAAGTAAGAAAAATAGGCATTTCACGGGCCAAAAATTGGCGTCCATCTAGCGGCGAAAAGGTGGAACTAAAAGGCCAATGGGGTTCCTGGGACCCCGAAGGCCAATGTATGCATGTAGAGTTTTATCGGTGCTTCGGGGTCCTGGACACCCCAGATGCCACCGATGCATCGGGGTTCCTGAGACCCCGTACGCCAAAATGTCGGGTGCAGTTTCACAGGCGCTACGGGGTCCTCGATACCCCAGATGACATCAAGTCGATATGCAATGAGCGCTAGCGGTGTATCGGGGTTCTTGAGAACCCCGGACGCCAAAATGTGGGTTGCAGTTTCACAGGCGCTACGGGGTCCTCGATACCCCAGATGACATCAAGTCGATATGCAATGAGCGCTAGCGGTGTATCGGGGTTCTTGAGACCCCGGATGCCACAATGTCGGTTGCAGTTTCACAGGCGCTACGGGGTCCTCGATACCCCCGATGACATCAAGTCGATATGCAATGAGCGCTAGCGGTGTATCGGGGTTCTTGAGACCCCGAAAGCAAAAATGACGGTTGCGGTTTCACAGGCGCTACGGGGTCCTCGATACCCCAGACGACATCAGATCGATATGCAATGAGCGCTAGCGGTGTATCGGGGTTCTTGAGACCCCGGATACAAAAATATGGTTGCAGTTTCACAGGCGCTATGGGGTCCTCAACACCCCAAACGACATCAGGTCCGTATTAAGAGGGCGCCAACGGTGCATTGGGGTTCCTGAGACCCCGAATGCCTAATGTCGATATATCGAGTTCCACCGGCGCTACGGGGTCCTTGACACCCCAGACGACATCAGGTCCGTATCAAGAGGGTGCCATCAATGAATCGGGGGTTCCTGAGACCCCGGATGGCATAATATTGATACATAGTATTTCAGCGGCACTACGGGGTCCCTGACGCCCCAAAACGACATCAGGGCCGTATCAAGAGGGCGCAACTAGTATAATTATTGTCTAATTTTTTTCCAGAGTTTATTTAATTTACTTTATTTATTTCTTGCTTTAAATTAAATGACTGTAACCTGTTATAACGATGCGATTGACTGTAATATTACTTTTTATTAATAATAAAGGAAAGCATTTTTGTTGGGAAGGATATTTAACACGTACAATTAATATCTCCATGTATTTTGTTATATATTTACAATTTGGTAACAGAAACGTTAAACATAACAGATAGCCTTACCCTCGGCCAGAAAATTTATTCCGGATATCTTTCTGGCAGAGTGCGAGACCAGCTAAAAGTCACATAAATATAATAATATTCGTCATAATAAATTCATTACAATCCATAATATGTATCTTTAATATATGTTATTTAAATTTCCTTAAACACTTGTTTAATCGGTTCAATGTTTCCATTAGCGTTGTTCTTTCCCTTTTTCCTTTTCTTTTTTTTTTTTTACCCACCATGGCTTGTTCTTAATTACGTCTACTGTTACTCGCTTTTCATTTAGTTTTTAGTATATTCGGATTGTCCGTACTTAATGATATTTTATTATGTAATTCTTTCACGAAGTTCCATTATTTTCGCAAGTGATCGTAGAAAAAAAAAAGAAAATAATCATTTGATTCTGTGCTACTTTATTCCGTGTGTCTCTGCTCCATTATAACGATTATATTGAAAATGTTCGACTAGTTTTTCTCAATCGTTTGTAAACAGCTTGACGAACACCGTAAACCGAGTTCTTTGATTCTTTCTTTTTACTTTAATCGCTTAATATATGTACAAAAACTTTGATTCTCTTTATATTAACACGCGCTCTATTTTCCCCATTTAAGCTCGGTCCTCGCGACAGAGTTTTCATTAAAAACGAACCCTTAAATCAATTGTTCAGAAGAACTTTAAAGGTTCACTGCTACGAACGCAGAATGGCGGTTTGGCGGTTCAGATTTTTGATTTATTCTTTTCTATGTATAAACAATACAATTCTATAATAAAGAACATAAAAATGGATGTTTAGTTTATTATTCTCGGCGATTTTGTTAAGAAAATTTTGATTATTTGACAGCAGGGAAAGTGATTAATCCTTTGAAGCGTATTTTGATTCGTGGTACAGTGGAAAATAACAATGGAGAAGAATTTTCTTAAATAATTCTGTTCAGTCATTCGAAACACATTAAAATCTTCAAAAAATAGTAGAGCTATATGTAATCTATAATAAAACAAAAGAAATTACTCAGAACTTATCACTAAATGTTGCTTCAAAGAATAAAAGCACATCAAAGGACAGTCTTAATGATCCAAACCGACCAGAGAAATTCTTACGATTTTTCTCGTTATCCTGCATGAATTTTCGAGTCCTGTGGCAGTGCATTACGCATAATAATAACAGATTTACGTTAGTCTTTATGTTACACCTATATGTATACGTATATCTTTACAAAAAATCACGTACACCTTGGATCTCATACGAATCGCTTTTCAACATTTCAACATTTTCGATATTTTTAGGGTATCATGGGCTTTAAATGATCCATTTGCACGAAGATGGTTATTTCTACGATTAATTGGGACTCGGTGTACATTCACGTGCAGTTTAGGTTTCCTTTATTTAACAGACCTACATTGCACTCGAGCGTACACTGTCGAGCACACTGGGTTTCCCTAGGGATCGCTTTTCCTATTTAATTCTGTTGGCATTCATCTTTTTACAGTGTACGTGGTAAAATGAAACGAGATCCCATTTCTCAATGTTACCAAAAACGTAGAAAAAATGGCAATTACCATGTACCGTTACACAGACGCGATTACCGTTGAGAGGGAACGTTCCTTGATTATTGTTCCTGAATTTAGAATGAAATCGTGATGAATGGCAGTTGTATGCATTGGAGGATGAATGATTTTTGTCATCGAAGATCGATACGTTTGATCGATGAAAGAAAGATCATCTAAAATAGTTTCAATTCTTTTCTTTTTGTAATAGGCGAAAGGTATAAGTTTTCAAATATTAAAATATTAATGGGTATCCAGAAAGAAAAAAGAAATATAATTCTTATGGACGGTACTTTGTGTCCTCTATACAAGAGGCAAACTGCATTAGTACTTTTAATCCTTCTGTGTAATTAACAAGTTAGCCAATTGAAAGCAAAGGAAATTTTCATTATTAATTTAAGCTTAGATTTTCTTCGATCAATCAAACAGAATCGATCAGATCGTCGACAAATAATGTTTTACAATGATCTTTCACACTTACATCATGTAACGTTCACAATCAGATCGAAGAATAAAGAACGACTGAAATAAAGAAAATAATTAATGGACGATCAAACGATACGCGACACGACATGAGTTACACGTCCTCTTAGAAAGTAGCAAACGTTCTTTTTTGGCTTTCTTCTTATGGTATAAATTCACTTTTTTTTCTTTTATGTACAAGGAACATCTAACATCGTAGTGGATAAGTAGTTTTTTTTTTTTTTTATACACGGGTCTCCATGATCGATTCAATGGCTGTTGAGCGTCACTCCCTTGCCGTTAACACCTACAAATTCATTATTATCGACTAGCTAGCTGACTGTATCGCGTTTGATTTTCACCATGAAAAGATTTTTTTTTGATTGAAGTTGATCGTGGAAAGAAGGTTGCCCTTAATTGGGCTATTACTGGGAATTTTATCATTGATCGATATTCACGTATGGATCTATCATTCCCGAAGATGATATACCTCTTTTGGTATCCATCGAAGTCACGAACGTTCTTTATTACACTTCTTCATTCTCCCAGCTTGCCTGGTACTCGATTTTTTCTTCTTCTGCATCGAGAGTAAAGCTCTGTTCACCCCCCTCCGTTGATTATCAGCTCGTCATCACCTGGACAGGTCGAAAGTCATGGCGACACGAACGTGTTACCGTTCGCGAAATTTCCAAAGGAGATTTCCGAACTGTGTTCGGACCGAAACGCAGTTTTAAAGTAAGGTCGATGCCGTGAGAACATCCGGGACGACTGGTTTCGGAGGGGGGTCCAAGCATCACACTCTCATCTCGCTCATGGTAGCCTGGGACACGCGACTCGACACGGTGGCACTTTGCAGCAGGGGCTGGTTTTCGGGTGGGCTCTTTGCTCGAGGGGGTGGTGGTGCTCTTGGTACTGTCAGATGTATGGACCCGTTTGGTGGACCCTGAAAAGTTTTGTTTCAGTTAGAAAAATTCATTGTTCAACATCGATTATTGATTATTAACTCTCTTTAGAATATTCTCGTCGCTCCACCAACGAAAGGGTTGATACTACTACTTCAGTTATCGAGATAATTGAACTGGGATAATTGAAGGTAGCAGAGTCTGTTTTTCGTACAGATCAAATACAAATATTTGTCGGAGAAAACGAGTCATCGATGGGAAAGCTTCTCGATGAAAACGAAAGAGATACAATGTAAAAGCTGGACATTTCAAAACCAACAGAAAATCCAAATTAGATTAAATTGTTCCTCGGTGGATACTTTAGTTGAAATTCTATAGGGTTATTCAAATAAGAGGAGGAAGAATATCAGCAGGAAATTGAAATCTCTGTGTCAGAAATGAAAGTCAAAATCCAGCTGGAGGAGGGAGTTTAACCCGTTGGTGAATGTTAAAGTTTCCCTTTAATGAACTTCAGCCTTCGTCGCGAATCCCTGGTCCACGGGAATATACTAACGAGATAAAAGGTGATACTGTCCGTAGGTAGAATAATGACCGGACGAAAATGTCAGAAGCTTCTGCAGTGTAAATTTCAACCGTGCGGTTTGGCAGTTTAAAAGTTTCTTTTTAATAGGATTACGAATGAAAGTTTCACAGGCCTCGCTAGTTAAACAACAACTTTTTCTTTTAGATGAAGGAGGAAATTTTCAATATCATAGTTTTTCATAGAAATCTGATGAACTTAATTTACTTCGTCAAGGGTAGGGATGATTAACAGCGGCGCCAGGATCTACTTAATTCATACCTAATTGGGGTTATTATTTTATTGATAAAAAAAAAATATTGAATGTTAAATGATAGGTTCTCACTTGGGTTTGTGCGTTCATGTCCTGTATGACGGAAGCTCGGGGAAGAGTGGCATGCTGTTGTTGATGTTGCTTTTGATAATGATGTTGATGAGGCAACGTATGAGTTCCCTGGCCTTGTTGGAGAAGCGTGTTGGGATCGTTCGGAGGACCTTTCATAACGTTCCTGGAAATGATGATGGATCGTTTGTTTCGAAAATTTTAATGTCCCATCAACGTAACGAGAAGGAGGATCGTACGAGATGATAAAATGAAAACTCTACCTTCTTAACATCTCATTTTCAACGTCGACGATGACCTGACCACTTCCAGGGAAATGCGAGTGAGGGGGCGGTGGTTGCTTCAGCTCGGTGAATCCTCGTGGACCGCACTGTTGATTCAACATTTGTTGCTGCTGAAGGCTCTTCACCTCGAGCCTCGTTTTGTCCCTCTGATAATAGACGCCGGCGAAAATGAGGACGTTCAGGATCAACAAGCTGCAGCCAATCGCGATCGTGACGCTCAGAGCTGTCGAGTACGCCGCGTATCTGCTCGAAAATGTCGATAAAATGTGCACGATTAGATGTATCTTCTTGGAAAGTCCGAGGAAACGGAGAAAGAATTGGCACTTTCAAAGTGAGCGCTTAAATATGAAAAGTGTATACATACACCCACGAGAAATGGATGTTTAAGTACTGGAAAATAAAAGAAAAAAAGATATTTAGCTCTAATAGACTTATCAGTAGCGGTTCTAACGAGAGAAGCTAATTGTTCTCATTTCGGGTATGGAATTCGCAATATCATCCTTGTCTCTGTACCCTAACAAAATTAGTTACATTGTTGGCGAAGGTAGAAACGTTTCTGTTCCGGAGACTCGGCGACCAGCGGGAAGTGCCTTATTAATTGTACACGTAGTATCAAGTGAAATTGCTTATTACGTACCCAGCTGCATCCAGACTAGCCAGAGTGTCTGTGCTAGCGTTATGAACGGTCTGAAGGTTTGTGCTTTGAATATAGCTGACACATGTGGCCGCGTTGTAGTCGGTTGTAGTTGGTGGTTCCGTGGTGATGTTCTTCCTTTTGAATTCCTCGCTGATCCTGCTCAATGGATCTGGTCTTACAGAACCGTCGTAAAGACTTGGATCCGAATGACCCCGGAATAAATTGTGCCTGGAATCTACGTCCTCCATTCCTGCTCGATGAAGCTCTGGTACTAGACGTAACCAGACTGATAGTTGATGAGCTCGATAATGATTCTTCATCTTTGGTCGTAAGCCTGAAACAAAGGCCTTTTGTTAAATAATTTCGTACACAGATAAAATTTCTGAAAATCCCTGTTTCCTCTCTTAAGTAATTTGAGAAGAAACGAAACGCTGTTATAAAAGACAAAATTTCCTTCTTGCACGAATCGCGCGAGGTTTTGTTGAAATTTCATTGGGATAAGAGGGTATTCCACCCGGCTGTGTCAGATTAGGAGGATTCTTTTTTCTCCTTAGCGAGCGCAATTCTTATTCGCTTTGGACGCTGCTTTAAAAATGGTCCAATTTCTTTTATGTACTCTTCCATAATACACTACCGGAGAATGAACAAAGCCGGTAAGAAAAGTGAAAAGATTCTTTTATCAGAATTATTGGTAGCGCAAATTATGGACGAGGCTCGACGAAATAGCCATCGGCGTAACATTAATTAGATGGAATTTTTGGTGGGAAACTGGGCGAGGTAGAACGGGAGCAGTTAATTAAAGCAAGCCACGGCTGACGGATTTGTCATGGCTGCAAATGAGAAAACGCATGCGCCGGCACGCGTGCACGAAACTGGAACAATGAAATTAATGAAAATAATTGTTCCTTGTGAAATTTCGGATAACTCGACCTGGTGAATACTAGTGTCGTCGTTCCCTGTTCAACTGTTACGGATTAATGGTGTTGGCTAACCGCGTTAAAAGCCAGCGCTTTGTACTCTAATGTGTTTCGTTTTAACAATTTTCCCTGGCCAGTGGAGTGAAAGGTAAACAAATGCTTTTTATAGTCGAATCTTAACAATTTGATGAAACTTAAAAATTTCAGAACAGACAAGCAAAGAATGTTACGATATTGAAAAGTTGCGAGAATAGAAACTGCACGACGCAAGTTAAAAAGATATTTCATCGTTAGAAAAGTTTCGACGAATGACACGATATCGCTGAGGATATGTGGTCGTGAATCATTTCCAAGCACATATGCTTGAATCTTTTACTTTGATTAGACGATGCTTCATGTCGTTTTGTACTTTAGTTGAAAGTCTCGTGGCTTTCTGAATTTTTTCCACGATCGATGCCCACTGGCCTATTCCGCGGATTATGGGAGCGAGTTTGGCTCTTTCAATTTACCAGTTTCAACTAAAGCCTATCGAAATCGAATTTCCATCATCGCTTTGCAGGATAAAAGAATTGAACATGAAAATGAACAATTAAATCGAACTAGGCGAGCATAAACCAACAGTAGATTTATCAGCTCGTTAAAACGTTTCGAGCGCTTATAGAAATAATTACTGGTTAAGTGAATTAACAACCACGATACAAAATCATTATAATTTTCGTTTCGTTCGAAATTAGTTTCCGTCGAATAATAATTTAGTTTAGTTCGAGGAGGAAGCTAAAAATGCTGATGAACGCGAACATTGTTAACTTGAACAAAATTGTTCGAAGGTTTCCGGTGAAATTCTCATGGTAATTTATAATATCGATTTTCTGTTGGTGCAAAGAATTACTGTTATTAATTCGTCTAATTTATGAACGCAGCTGCGTGCCAAACAGGCCGTGCTAGCCGGAGGTCTAGATGAAAAATGGTATTGCATTATGTTCGATTTCTTTCTATGAAATTCTGGATTAAATTAAAGAATGCAATTATTCGAAATGAAAAGCGTAGAATTCGTTTGCGCGTTTAATCAGGTATCTTTCCCTGGTAGATGGATCCGATGGAATCGAGTGTTATATTTCAAACTATAATTAATCCTTTTACGCTGGCGAACGACAGAACGCGTGGCAACGTTTGAAAACCGAGAGCTGTGAATTTTTCCAAAGCGATTCGAACGAGACCCGAGTTTCACGAGGTTACGCCGGAACGAGGGGGTCTCCTTTTTCTCTCGTTTATCGCCCGATACAGTTGACTGTTCCCGACTGATAACGACCGCTCCTCTCTTTCACTCGATTCCTGCGAACCGTGCACTCCTGATGACCGATAAAAATCCATTTTTTGCCGACCATTTCACGGCTTTACAGGCTGTGTCGCGTGAATCGTTAGATTTGAAAGGTTGGAGAATTGATTGGTCCGAGGTAGTTGACGGGTCACGGTTCACTGATTTTTCAACGACGAATTTTATAGTATCCATCGATTTCTCCGGGGATTGCTACCGATTCGTATAATTTTCCTCTTTACGATATTCTTTACAACTTGTTTAATGATTGAAATAGTATACGATCAAGGTGTTTGAGTGGAAACACTTCGAGGTACGAACTTTGAACCGTAAAAATTTGAGAGTTTCAACTGAGAAATCATCGAACCGGTACACATTTTTAACTGTAAGTACTTTCATGCGCTTCTGCGTCTCTCCTTTTCCATTTCTCGACTCGTCGAACTTTAATCCGAGCTGCACACTTCCTTCGCGTGTTTCAAATTGTCTCTTGAGATATCTTTCACGGTCCACGACGCGTGTAACATCCCGTACCATGACGTTTTTCAGATTTTGTCAAGAACCGTCGATATTTCTTTCTGCTCCCTGGCAAGAATAAAATCCTTTTCTTCGAGACAGCGATACAGTATTTCCCTTAGATTCGAACCAAGGAAATAAGCATCAGTTTAAGAGAGATATCCAATTTACTTTAAGCTCGACGTCCAAGAAATTCTCCAACGTATCAAAATTAATTATTAAATTCTGAAGAAGCCTCAACAAAAAGGAAACAATAAAACATCGCACTAGGAATCAAAAAAGTTTCTTTTTCCATGGGAAGATAGGCAACTACGTCAAAAACATTCTCACGAGACTCGGTAAGAAAGAAGGCATGCATCTTTCACGATAACAACGAAACTCCAACGTCGTTCTAAGAAGACACGTCAGTCGATAAAATAACCCAGGACACCCTGTATATATATACACAGAATTTCACATATATACAACCGACCTAACGACTTATTCTTTTAAGACACGCTAAAACTTCTAAAGGACGTCTTTCGTCGGCAGTCGCCATATTCTCCCGACTTTTCGAGAGTTTTCGTCGAGAATATCCCGGTTGTCTGGCGTGGAAATAAAACGAAGGAAAGCCATCGCAGTAGATAAGTCGTGGCATAAATGCCAACACATGTCTCATGGTATTTTCTTCTGCTTCTGTCGCGATGTGCTTCATCTCTTCCGCCGACTTTCCCTCCAAATCTCACCACCCTCGTCCCGTCTACACCCAGCTTTCATTCGTATTTCAGCTGGCAGCTTCCCGAAAAACCTCTTGTTCCCTCTTTTTCCCTCTATAGTCTTTCGATTCCTCGTATGCTCCTTGGTATTCGTACCCGCAATCGATGGGGAGGAAAAATGTTCGGCAAAGGGGTCGTTTCTTAACCCTAAAGAAACACGATCGAGTCAATCGTGATTTCGGTACGTGAATTTTTAGAATTTTAGTTTGGTAAATACAGAAGTTGCTAAATATAAATTTCCTCGATTTCATTTTATCCCCGCGAATTTTCCTCGATTCTACTGGTGCTGGTTACCGCAGGGAATTATAATTTTTGTCGGAAGCGATGGATTTCAGATGCACTCATTGATGTTTCTCTCCAGTCCGGGGAGTTTGAAACTGAACGAATAGTTGAGCTGGAATTGTGGAGAGAATCGGAAATTGTTCCTCGTCGTGGTTTATTCAGTGATTCGAAATTTTATATGAAATAAATCTTAACAAAATGTTCAATACAAAGTGTCCCGTAAAGATGAAATCGTTCCTTTAATTCGCAGCTTTTCTAATGAATTTTTCAAGCGGTCACCGGACGAGGGTGCTTTTATTAAATTCGAACAGCCCCTGGCCAAGAAGGACCGACTTACCTCGTTAATTAAACACGACTGTGCTTTCGCGTTCTTCCTGGATATTACGTAAGATTTGAAATACGATTTCATCGTGAGAGAAAAGTAAAACGTTCCCTAGGTTTTTTCAACATTGATAGAACGACCTAGAATCTATTAAAAGTAAAATATTCCCTATGTCTCAGGACTAGAAGAAGCAATTTTTCAGTTCGCGAAGTTGAAGCAGACCTTTGGTACCACGTATTGTGTGCAAATCGCGAAGTGGAAAGAAAGGAAGAAGAAGAAGAAGGGATTCTCAGTCAATTTCGTCTTTCTTCTCGGCGACAAAGTGTCCCTGATTCTAAAATGCAATCTCAGCCAGAGAGACCGAATCGTATTTCGAAGACGTCTATTCGATCCAACCTTTTCTCAATACTTTCGCACTATTAGAAACACTTTCGGCAGATCTTTGATATCTTTCAAATCTTTTACCAATCGAAAATAAATGATATTTCAGAACCACAGTGTTCTACAGTTTCTTCTGCGATTCAGCATAAAAAATAACGAATGAAAATGGCTTTATCTCATCGTTTTCTTTTATTCGATGACGATGCAACGGAGACGATTTGCTGTGGAAATTGATACAACGAGGATGTTCCCCGCGAGCAATCGTTGCCAGTGTCGTCGACCAATAGAAGTCTACCGTGCTCTGGCAATGGTACAGCTTCCGGTAGAATTATTGTTCGAGTTGTCGCTATTAACGGAAATGCGGGACTGCGAAACCATAGAGGCTGAGAGCCGCGAAATCGTCGTCGAAATCCGTGAAAACGGTTACACGCCACCGTAAACGACCGTCGACTTGCGAATTGCTCTCGGTTTTGTCCTCTCGACTCACCGTTCTTTCCTTTCATCCACCATTCTCTCCCCTTCAGCTTTTCCCCCTTTTTTTACGGTCGTGTTTTTCATAACCGTTTTAAGACCGCTAAACTGCCTCGATAATTGCACGGCTGCTTTAACTTTCATGCGATATCCCGTTCACGAGCGACGGAGCTTCCCATAAAAAGTCGAGTAGTTGGTCGCGAATCCTTTAAGATATCATGTTTATGAATCCTTTCTCCTGCCTCTAGGGATTTCACTGGCTTATCGTTGTTTCAGCAAAGTACCCTTGTCAAGAAATACTTGTGTACTTAAAATTTTTGCAAATTCGTTTCTTTTTTTTTTTACAAAATTATTTGAAAATTTTTAATAACTTTCTGC